TCGCTCTAGGTAGAGCTGCCCATATTCCCGCATCTACCTAGAGGGAGGACGGCTGGATGAGATCACAATTGCAATGCTTTCCAGGCTTGAATGCAAATATTAAAGAAATGCATATTTTTGAAATATATTATTAATTATACATATGCAAAATTATACAATTTTTGCAAAAGGTGCACTTATCCTTTTGCAAAACTGCACACTGAAAACGGTTACAGTTTCTTAAATTGCATCTTTATTATTTATTTTGACCCTGGAATAACTATAGAAAGCAATGCTCTTTTTCTGAGATTTGGTGGCTTAGGACAACTGGCTATGGAATAGATTTTTGTGACATGTAATATTTTCATTGTCTACAATTTTCAGAGTAAATTGGCCTATTTGGGTCTGAGTAAATGAACAGAACATTGTTAGATGTAATGCTCACTAGCTAGAACTCAGGGATTCTAAATATATGGAAACCACAGGTATAATATAACAGATTGTACACCCAGCTTTGTGATAAGATCTTAAGCATCTTGCCTAGCCATTGGAAACAACCAGCCATATCCAAAATGTTTTTGTGCATGTGCAGCAGTATCAGTAGAAGTCTCTGAAGAGTACCAGAGCACCTGTTAACTCAGCAGTCAGCCTGATGCATCCAAAGCTAATGAAAATTAGATAACTGTACAATGCCTAGCAATACTGTAAATAAATGCATATGAAAGTAATTTCTCAGAGTTGTTTCTTGAGACACAAAACACCAATAACAGCAAAAAAAAAAAAAAAAGAAACCAGATCAATAACACAGTTCTAGAATGAAGTACATTGGATCACACGCTTATCAGGCAATAAAAGCAAACAAGAGATGGCAACTTGAATGGAGATTCTCTGTGGAGAAAATAATCTGATTAAATTGAACATCACAGAAGGAAAGCAGGATGCTAGTAGCAGGTCAGTTGGCCGTAGGAAGTAGGCAATAAAGCCGAAGCTTGACAAGGGCAGGAAATGTGTTAAGTTGCACACTGCTGGTTAATATTAGGTCATGTCAATAGTTAGAGGTGGTGTTTTGCTACTAGTCCCTAACAAAACTCAGCATTGGTAACAAAGCCACATTTAGGGGGAACTAATACGTTTTGCAAAGGACAGCTGCAAGTTTGGTTAGTCCAGGTAGTGGGTGTGACTAAACACAGCACATTGGTGAGGACCGACAGCACATTTAACACATGTGTAATCAAAATATGGGGCACAACATAGAGATTACCTTATGTGTGGAAGCAATTTTTTAGATGATCTAAACTGGCACCTGTTCCAAGATGACACAATGATTGAGAATGAATAAATAAATAAAAATTTCTGTAAAATCAAATACAAAGATTTATAAATGACAGCTTATGGAATGTAACTATAGATCACTGGATGCATAGTGTGTAAACACATGAAAGTAAGCAAATGATTTGCACTTGCATCTATTAAGGGGGAAATTAAAAGGAGTTTCAGCCCAAGCATTGAAATTATGGACAAAAAAAAAGATTATACAACAGTTCCAATAATATCACTGCTGTGTATATCAAAAGAATACAGCATTGTGCAAACTTGACAAAGTATACAGCATTTCATATATTTACACCTGCTATACTATAGATACAGATGACAATCTAACTAGGTTGCCATGGAAACAGCTACTACGGCCAAGCACCCTGATGGCCCTTACATGAAAAGAAATTCTAAAGATTTATCAGATACTGTATGAACTAATTATATGCATTCAAGCTATCAGCTAAGAATTAAAATAGAAAAAAATATTAGCACTAATAAAGCATACATGTAATTGCCACATTAACATAATACATGCTGATGGCTTTGTAGGTACGGGGGGGGAGGGGGGAGCGAATTTCCTGTGCAATATGTAAAGCAGCAACTTTGCTTTCCAGCAGTAAAGCTGGAATACAGCAGTAAAGTGCTGTATAACATGGGCAGTGGCTCCTACTCTCACAGCTATAGCTTTTGTATGCATTTTGTTTCCAAATTCTCTTCCCTAGTCTAAAGATCCAAGTGTAATAACTAACATTGCTCAAAAGGTTTTTCCAGCAACCAACAGTGCATGTCTTCCATCTACCCAGAATCACGGTGATTCTTTTAAAATTGTATTGACTAACGTATAATAACCACAATCACCCATAATGTAATTTATGTGCTCATCTTCTGAGTTTTTGTACAAGCAATAGAGAGCTCATAGGTATGAAATCTGGACGGTTGTCTTCCCTTTGACTCTGGATTAAAATGTTGAAATACTAAGCATTATAATCCTTTAAACTAATTTAGCAACACTAACTTACTTAGTGGAACGATGGAATCCCCCCCCCCCCAAAAAAAGAAAGAACATGTGCTGCATGCAAAAGCATCCATGCAGTAGAGCAGAAGGAAGAAATACTATGTAGGTCATGTTTATTTAAAGTACATCTGAAATATAAGAGAAAATAATCAAAACGGGGCACAGATGTGACGTATTCAGGAACAAAGATCAAATAGATTTATTCTTCAGGAATTTTAATATTTAATTTAGTTTTTTGATCAGACAACAGTTTTTGCAGCAAATGCAACCACTGTTGCTTCAATCCATTTAACCTTTTTGTTACTTATAATCGCTTTAAAGTCGCCACTAAATTTCCTGGTGTAAACATGGCAAATTGAAAGCAATTTCAAACATTTTCAACCACCTCTTAATTGAAAAGCTAGATATAGGAAAGAAGTGAATTATTTGCCAAAATTACCAAATGAAAATAAAAGAAAAAAGCTTGGAAAAAAGAAAACTAAAGCAGCCATCACATCTAAGGAGTGGTAAGTGCAATATATTCCATTTTTCTTTTTGGGTTTAGATATGCTGTGTAGTGTATGGTCTGCATTAGAGTGCACCTTCAAATTCACTAGTAAAACCCATGAGACAAGGAATGCTTAATCACAATATCTTTTCTTCATAAAGTATAAATGTACTTTCATAGTCTGCTCTTATCAGTCTAATGCTTTGGCTTCCACATGATGCAAAAGCTTATGAACTGTGACATGACATCTAGTAAAGAATAACTGCATACACCTGGAAATAAACAATATATTTTTCACAAATGGTCTCTTGTTCCAACTCTCCAAAGGAAGCAACTACTCTTCTTTTTGCAGTTCTTGTGTCGTGGGACTGATTTCTAACAAGTACATTATCTACATGCCCTCTATATGCTGGTGAGTAAAATTGTTGTCAGACCAACACTGGCCCTATTGTGGGTCTAAGACTATGGTATTGATATTGTTCATTGTTTCAAGACGGAACCTGATGTGAATGGCTCAGTGTTCTCAATTAAGCACTGTATTAAACGGTCATTATTATATAAATACCTAAATATATAAAATAAACCTAATCACTAATGTCTCGTATGACCCTTAAACTGATTATGTAATTTCAAAAGTTGTTTCCAATCTTATAAAATGTATACCCTTCATTTAAATAATACCTGGTGATGCTACCATCAGTGTTCTTGTTCAATCACTTCCTGCTACGGAGTGACAATTGTCTCCCAATTGTGCACCTGTGTTGTCACCCTGATACATGCACTCTTTAAGTGGAGAGTACAAGCACCCATGCTGCCACACATTACGCAGACTTGGTCCACCATTGTCACTATCTGGAAGCCGTTCTAGAGCAATAATGTGTAGCCAACACTGGAGCGAGTGCATGTAGGCAGGAAGTTGCTAAAAAAAAGGCAGCGGTTTGGCGGTACTCTCATGCAAAAGAACCCCAAAAACAAAAGCAAAAAAAAGGAAGAAAAAGGGTCAAAACAGTATTTTTTTTTTAAAAAAGCACACATATATCCACATACTGTACATAAACTATGGAAATGTAGGATAATGTCATATTTCCTGTAAAGCAAAAAAACATAGTTGGACCATGGCAGAAGAGGTGATACTAATACATGTGCTGGCAAAAAATATATTATAATCTTTAACTAAAATGTGCACTAAATAACACCAATGAAATCTCCATGTTTCAGCATTTTTAAACAAATGTATTGTGAGCAGTGGGTAATTGCAGCAGGAGTTCCATATTTCTTGTGCCCCAGGGTCCAGTGCTCGGGGACTGTGTACATTGCACTCACTCTGACAAGAAGGGTAGGAAAATGTTCCTGACAATGTTTACATTACAATCATTTGATACAGTAGATTATGATGCACTGGACATCATTATTAACTCCATCCTGCTGAGAGCCCTATCTCGTCTCTTAAGCGCCAATGACAAATGAATTGACATTTAATGAGCAAAACGCCTACACCACTAGAGTTTGGGAATTAATATATTCCGCAGAGTCAGTGAATGCATTACACTTCTGCAGACTAATTACTGTGGTAGAAGTCAAATGCAAAACAATTCATTACTGAAAAAGACTGTAGAGATTATGGAGGTTGCACTACATTGTGCCCACTTCTAGACATATATGACTTCCAGAAAAACAAGACTTTGCCTTCACAAGACCAAGGTTCATGAAAACATTGCCTGGCACCTACTACAAGCAGCAGATTGCAGAACATTTGGGTCATAGTGCTGTCACCTTCCCACTGATTTAACAGATGGTAAGTGAAGATAGATGTTAACATTGTTAATCTTAATATGGCAGCCCTCCAAATATTTCTTATACTTGTTCCAACTGTTGAAAATATGTATTCTATGCAAAAGAATAAACGAAGGAAAAATTTTGACTTTAACCAAAAGGAAACCAAGACGACTGCTATTTAGATTATGCAGTACAGCTATTCTTTGCATTGCGGAGGGAATATAATAGTCATTGCTGGTATCTGAACAATTCTCAGAGCTAAGCAAGTGTTTTATAGTTATGGATAGATCAATTGATCTATCTTATACCAAAACAGTTGGGCATGCTTCCTTCTCCAATACTACCAACTCCCTACTTGCACAATTAATAAGTCATCTACCAACCCCCTACTTGCAAACATAGTAGGTCATAATTAGGGATGTCCCGATACCGATGCTAGCATCGGAATCGGGCCCGATACAGGGCATTTTGACAAGTACTTGTACTTGTCAAAATGCCCCGAAGCCTAGCGCCGAAGCTTGCGCTATGTTTTTTTTTCTTCTTCTTAGTTACCAAATACCATATCACAATGCCAGGTTTACATACATTTAGAACTACCTGTAATGCTATACAAGTCATTAAGCTGGATTGTTTTTTAAAATTCCTCAAGAAACTCAGGTTTTGTATTTTAATTAAAGCTCATGACAACCAGAGCAACTATTATGCTTACACTTTTTCTGACTATATCCACTTTTCCTCTAAATTTGACAAAATAAAACACAGCTCGGACCAGGTGTGCCCATGGGAAGATTTTGCATCTTTCTTGAAATGTGGGATTTCCCATCACTTTCTGTACTAGACACAATGATTACCAGGACAATTGTAGGGAGAATTTGCCCAGCAGGGACGCAGGCAACAATAACTCTCCGTCAGAACAAAGTTTTGACTTTAGTTACACGTTTTGCATTTTGCTCCATGGTTTGGCAAACATCAGTGTCCTGTTACCCTGGGCTTAATAAAGAGTCTTTTTTAAGTGTTACAAAGGGGCTGTAGCTCCCTGTAAAGTTGCTCTTGAAATAAACAAATATGACAACAGCGTACTTTTTAAAAGAGAACTTATGGGGTAAGTGTTTCTCCGCATAGTTCTCTTTAGGGTCATTGGAGAACATATAATAACCTCCTCCTGTGACCCAAAGCTCAGTATAACACCGGCTATTGCTCGCGATATACTGAGAGCGCCGCAGCTGAGACGGATCCCAACAACACTGTCGAGATCCACCCAGCTGCGTGAGTGACAGCCGGCTCTGCCTATCCAGCGCTGGAGGATCGGAGAGAGGAGGGTAGGAATCCCTGCAGGAAGCGATGACTGTCAGTCACCGCTCACTGCAGGGAGACGATCAGGAAGTGAGCGGATCGGCGGCATGTTTCTGCTCACTTCCCGATCGATAGAGCCGACCAGTGACAGCTTCTTTGTCACAGGTTGGCTCTAACTATGAGGATGGGTGGAAATCACTCACCTCATAGTTCTCCTTTAAGTTAAAGACAATCTCCCAAATAGAGATAACATTTTGTGATATAGTCCTTTGCGACTACTACCTTGCATAAAGTAGCACAGAAAAGTAAACCTGCTGCATACCCTTCTGCACTGCCTGACACTACTTCCACAAGGTCTACTTGGAGTTTCAGCCTGGGATGTATACACTGTCAGATATGTTTTTATAATCATGTGATTAACAAGTAGCTCTCCTTGTAGAGGCTACAGGCTGGAACTGGAAGCTTTGGGCAGTGGCGATGTTGAAGGAGAGTTAGAATTCTTATTGCTACTTGGTATTTTGAAAGACTTTATTCCTCTATCTATTTCACTGAATCACATACTGAACTTTCCAGCAACATAGTGGTAGAATCTATGCCCTGTATACCAGAGTAATATATCTCATTTTTGGCTTTGTTGTCATGCTTTGTATGGTAGGTATCATTCATTCTTTACAAAAAATTGTCCAACAATTTGTTTCTCACCTCAATACTTTTTAAATTCTTAACTTGAAACAAGTATGCAGACCAGGAGCTCTGTCCTTACTTGTTGCATGGTTGTTTCATTTAGAAGTTCAGACAGTGGTGAAGCCAGAGACAACTAGCATTGTTATTAAATCATCAGTGGGAGCCCACATATTTTTTCATGATAGCTAATTTCAGCAAAAAAATAAAAAATTTTAAAATTCTTTTAAAAATGCTTCAATCGAAAAGTATGTCCAATAGGATGGAAAGCTTGTTCATTCAGACACCTCCCAATCAGTTACCTGGAGCTTAGGAAGTAACTGGTCTTGTAAAAGAACAGAGCCAACACAGAACTGCTTTAATATAGACTCCTTGGTTTATATAGGTGTGATGAAGGCAGAAGCGCTAACCACTACGCCACTGTGCTGCCCATGCTCTGCCATACGCTGGTGTAGCTGCTGTTTTGTGTCACCGACATACAATTCTGAGCACTCCTCACTGCACTGGACTGCATACACAATGTTGTTCATCTTGTGTTTTGGCGTTGGGTCTTTGGGTGAACCAGTTGTTGCCTAAGTGTATTGCTGGGTTTAAAGCAGACAGGGATGTGATGTTTATTTAAAAACCCTTCCTGAGTTTCTCAGACACCCCAGCTACATATGGGATGACCAAATTCTTCTGTTTGTCATGCTTTTCACCCTCACTGGTACTCTTGGCATTCTTTCCTCTCCTTTTTTCTGTTTTGACAAAAGCCCAGTCAGGATACCCACAAGTTTTAAGGGCCCCCCTGAGGTTTTTGAACTCTTTCATCTTGGCCTCCGTTCTGGTGGGAATTTTCCCTGCCCGGTGGTGTAGAGTCCTGATGACTCCCAGTTTGTGGTCTAGAGGGCGGTGGTAGTCAAATAGCAGGTACTAGTCTGTGTGTGTTGGTTTTTGGTAGACCTCTATTTTCAGCCTCCTTCCCTCTTCTACTGTTACTAAACAATCCAAAAAAGCGAGTTTGTTTTTTTGCACATCTTCCCACGTAAACTTGATGTTATGATCCACCGAGTTGATATGGTCAGTGAAAGCCTGTAACTCTTGTTTGTGAATCTTAGCCCAAGTGTCATCCACATATCTGAACCAATGACTGGGTGCATTGTTGCAATGCCACCTGACCCCCGCACGTTTGTATCAAATTGGTCCTGTTGGCTCACTCACAAAGTACTTTGCTCTAATTGAACATGATCTATGCTGTATTCTAACTACCTCTGGCACTTGATTCTGTATTCTGTATATCAGAAGTGCCATAATACACATGAGCCTTATCTTCCATAGTGCAAATTCACATTGCTTATCACATAGCAATGCCTTACTTCCCTTTTGACTCTACCTTATGCCCAATTTCCATTTGACTTGGCTCCATCCCATTTGTACTTTACCCTTGTTTAATGGTTTTAAAATGAAAAATATTGCATATTGTCATATTTTATATGTTAAATATTTTATGCATTGTTTATTTAATGTACATTTACTGTATGTATTGTATTTATTTATGAGAGAATGCAATGATAAATGCCCAAAACTCCCAAGTGGACAGAGACATATTTGGAAGTTATTGTAGGCAGATCTCAGTGATGAAGTATTTAGCACAAAAGAGGTAAGGGGCCAATTCAACATCCTGTTTGGTGGAATGAAGCCTAAAATAAAATGTTTCCGCATTCTGAAGAATAACCATGCCTTGCTGTATCCTCACTGTAAATGGACCCCATTCAATGTTTATATTCCTTCTGCATATGAGCAGGCAGGTATCTTTAGCAAAGCAACAGTATCAAAACAAAGGACATATTTATCAGCATAATATTTCTTGTAAGGAAGCAATACATTCTCTGGCTAATAGACATGACAACTGAAGACAATAAATTGGTTCATTGTGTAATTTATCTTATAGCATCTTACAGTTTAATTTGCTTAATAACCTATGCAAAAGGCTCTTCTACTTGGCGTTCTACTTAATAAAAGTAATGTGATAGTATCTGGAATGGTAACTTACATTAATAGGTTTCCCGGGGCTGACATGGACCGTTCTTCTCTTCTTGCACATTCAAAGGGATTACCAAATGAGCGTTTTCTCAGCATTGCTTTCACTAGAATCTTGGCAGACGACAAAAGTACATCAACAATACAAAAAGATGTGGGTACAGAGTAAATACTAAAGTGTGACAGTAACCTTCTACTATAATAGTTTACTAAAAGAAATGACCAAACACATGTAATCCTTCACTGGATACAGAGGCATTTTGCGAAACACATTGAAGGGAATTTATCAAAACTGGAGCCGACAAATCTGGAGCAGCTGTGCATGGCAACCAATCAGCATCCACTTTTCATTTTCAAATCCTAACTGAACAAACTGAAGAGAAAAGCTGATTGGATGCCTATCCAAATCAAATTGTTTTACTGCATTTTTGGAATAGTTCATCTGCATATTTTTTTCTTATAGTAAAGATCCACTAAAAGGCAAATAAGTTCAGCACAGGAAATTAGCATGCACCCCTATGCCTGCTTTTTGCAGATAAGAGGACCTTTTCACTCAAAACCGATACTTTACTCTTTTGTAGATACTGGAGGTTTAAACCCCTCCTAGTGGAGTGCAACACTGGAAAAAAACCTTTTTCCAGGTTTTGGACTGAGGGGGAAGTTTAACAAATCATCAGCTTTCCATATTGTTGTCTGTTTCCCTACCAGAGAAATCCACAATGTTTTTTGTTCTGGCCACTAAAGGTATGTTTTGGGGACAAGAAGTGAAGGAAAATGTCTTATATTGCTACAAAGTTAGCAGTATGAAACAAAAAGGTTCTAACCATTCTCCCCTTTGTCATAAAAAAAGTTTTGGCTGAACTTCTATTTAAAGTTCCTGGACCAGACTACATTGCTGATTTTCAGTGCTATCTGCAGGATCTGGCAGTTCTGTATGGCAGGTATGCTTTGAGCACAAGGCTTGCCGAACAGAATTAAATTCATTTGGCAGGTAAACAATTTCACATATATATTGCAACTTTGTTTTATGGGTTCAGGTTTATGTTCTGCAGAAAGCAGAATGCTTATGAACATATTTTATACAATTTAAACTTTCTCTAGATATATTTTTCCTTTTAAAGAATTCCTCCTAAATGCTATAGAACAGAACACTTTCATAAAAAGAAATAGATGAAGAATATTTAATTTAAAAAATGGTGTGTCAGACTAGTGAAGGAAGTTACAGAATATAGTTAATCAATCTTAACCCTGCAAAAGGAATTACATTTCCATATTTAATAAAGACCAACTCAGGCTGTAACCCGTAAAGGAACTCGGATTAAAATATGTCAGTCGTGTAAAGCTTTACAGTCTGCTGCATTGTAGGACCGCTCTTCAAATGGTAATAAATAGAGAACATTTAACATATCCCCATGGAAACAAAATGCTCTATTACCCATTTATGACAACTGAATATTGTAAACCTGCAATGTGATTAGTTCTAACTAACTAAAAATGGAACAGAATAAAAGCAGATTTCACCATGCTAATACAAGTTCTAATCATCATACATGTGTATAAATATAAGCAACGGAATACGAGATCCTCTTATATCAAGGGATCCTGATAAAGGGCAGTGTCAAGTAGAACAAAGCATGTTTTAACAATTGGGATTACTGTATATATTTGCATATATTAACATATGTCATATATGTCGGATGTCTTACATACAGTATTTGCATACAAATATAATTAGAACTGTATGTTTTAGTAACTATTTCAGCTGTTATTTACATTTAAACAAATCACATAATCTCAAGGCAAGTTCAGTGAAACAATGGATGAAATGACCCAATAATATCAGGCTGCCTTTGTATTATACACTAGCAGTTCTGATATAAAGTTGGTCATTGGGGCCAAAAGGAATTATTTAGATAGCTATTCTCACTATCCCGAAATGAGGAATAATCCTCTTTTTTTGGGGTATGTGATGGAGTAAGACATAACTTCTGTTATAAAAAGACTCTACTGTGCTACCTACTGGTTTTGTAAGGGACTTTTTTGGTTCCTTTGATCCCTTCCCACTATAACCTTCTTTGCAATACCTAGTCTTTTTGCCAGGATTCCCAGCCTGTTTCTTTACATTCAGCAACTGACCAGAGACTGTAATTAGTCTCGGAAGCAGCGTTGGGTTGTAGCTCATTGTGATTGGCGCTGGCTTTACATTTATTTTATTATTTAAATAAAGGACTTTTTCTACAGTGTTTGCTTTACAATTTATTTTTTTTGTGAATGAGCAACAAGGGGTAGTATGTACCCCTTATTCATATAGGAGGGAGTGCCAAATATCTGGGGGTGTTCTCTCCTCATGGGGAGGGACTGCCAGGATGGACTTCTCCACATTTCTACAGTCTGGATATGGTCTTGGTCCATGAGAACTCACTCTGGAACAGGGGACTAAGATGTATGTTTTTTTATTAAAGATTGTGGGTTCTTTGTTCATACAACATTAGTATAACTGTTCAGATGAGATCTATCCTGTAAGCTGTACCTGCATCCATGAAAAAGTGGACTTTGCACAGGGAACTGTTAATCCAACATGTTTCCCGGAACAAACATACATACAATTCTGAGGAATACAAAGATATATGTTTAAACAACTTGGATTAGACAGTGTTATCTGGGGGTTTTTTTTTGCTGGTAAAAAAAAGTGGGAAAGCAAACCAATTTTTATTCATATATTAGATTTTTATTGTATTTATTTTTCTCACCTTAATCATTTTTTTGTCTTTGTTCATTGTCTCCCACACCTTATTCCTTTAAAATTTGAAGTACTTCCTATGTCATTGTTCTATTATTATTATTAAAATTATTATTATTTTCATTTCATGCTGAAAATAAATTTCTCATAGAGAGCAGGTTGGTGTAATTTTTTTTAGCCTTGATGTAAAATACAATCATTATTTTATTCTTTATTTTTGTATTTGTATTTGTATACATATTTATTCCTTAGGTGGTTAAAGATAGACCCAGAATATTTGTTTTCATAAATTCTCAGACAAAACTGTACAACGCCATTTTCCTGAATGGATGGATTTGTTGACATACCCTCGTCCCAAGAATCTGTAGTAAAAGATGGAACTAAGTGTTCGGATATGGTGGAGATTTTGGGTGGCACTGATTATGCATAGGTAAATTATTGCAATAAATTAAGATGTTTTATTTTTTTATCTGCATTTGGTTGCCTTTTAGTTAAGGACCAAGCTGCCCAACAATCGCCCACATCACCCAGAGCTATTTATGTACTGTCATCATAGGGGTGGACAAAACAGTACGTCATGACACAAAACACAAAAAATGTTCAAAGAACATTTTTATCAGTTCCAACACTCATATAAGAAGTATTACAGAGCTACTGATAAAATAGAAGAATAACAGTGTTTCATACCACAGCTGTCAGACTTGGGATGAGTTTAACTGAATTCTTGACTTCTTCCTCTGTCACTTCTACTATCGAGCAATGCTCTTCCTCCAGGGGTAATGGATCCTCACCATTTTTGGTCACCCAAGGATGTAGCTGAGTAAACGAAAAACATAAAAAATACTAAACATTTAAACTACAGAGTGCAATTATGAAAATAATGTGAAGACATTTTCAGGGTGATTTACTGAGAAAATGATACCTCATAATTAATGCAGATTTGTTAGAATATGTAATCACTGATCACCAAAATAGCTAAGTTGTCCTTTGCAAAAAAGATGTATAGCAATGATTGATTTTGAGTCAGTTTTGAGGGAAAAATAATTCACAAGTACAGTAGATTTATGATTCAACCAACAGCTTAAAGAAAATATTAAGATGATACACGTTAATTTTTAGAAGGAAATTTACTTTTTATGATGCTAAAAGGTAGCATAGATAAGTAGGGTATACACATATATATTTTCTTAGTTCGAAAAAAATACAACAGATTCCTCTATCCACGCTGTTCAGTGTGGATGGAGGAATCTGTTGTATTTCCCTTGCTGCTTGTATTGTATTCTGACAGTGGGTGTTAGGCCCTGTCTGAACACCGAAAGGAGCATGCAGCTGACTGGCAGCAAGCTCTGTTCGGCCGAAGATTTACCAACTTGTTTCTTTAGCAAAAGTCGCTCTAATGAACTAGTTTAATTAAAAGGTCTCCTTACATTTCGCTGGCTTATTAGTCAATAAAAGTCTAACCTGAACTTGCAGGGCACAGAGGTTGAATTATGCTATGTCTACAACTACTCCCTCATGACACTCAGCTTTTTCCTATGACAGAAACTTACCAGGTTTAGGGCTGCATTCCTGGAAGTGCCACTAGTAACAAGTAACTCAATCATATCAGTGGAGATGCTAGCATGTCTAAATTGTTGTTTATATCAGGTTCTACTAGAATATTTACAATTGTTCTATTGAGTCTGTGAAAAAAAAAATTTGGTTAATGAAGAATTCCTGTAAGTCTTGGTTTAAATTTAATTTCTTGCACCATTCACCATGTAGAGAAGGCCAGTAGAACTAAATAGATAAGTTGTCTTTAGTCCAAGATAGTACAATATATCTCTTAAATAGGCTCTAAGGTAAAATCAGAGAACTTTGAAAGGAAGAAGTAAAAATTCTGAGATAAACAGAAGTTCAGGTTGTAGTTGTTAGATCCTTATCTGCCTCTGTTGTTCCCGCTTATCTTATGCTCAAGTTATGCTCTTTAACTTGGCATGCACAGGCATGCATGCATGAGCAGTCTGACTTCTGTATGTAGCTCTCATGTACACTATATTGCCAAAAGTATTGGGACACCCCTCCAAATCATTGGATTCAGGTGTTTCATGAAATTTCCTTGCTACTAAATATTCCACGGTTACCTGTTAGTGGTATTATAACAAAGTGGAAGCAACTGGGAAGAACAACAGTAACTCATACCACGGAGTGGTAGGCCACGTAAAATGACAGAGCGGGGTCAGCGCATGCTGAAGCGCACAGTGGTCACCGACTGTTTGCAGAGTCAATAGCTACAGACCTCCAAACTTCATGTGGCCTTCAGATTGGCACAACAACAGTGCGTAGAGCACTTCATGGAATGGATTTCCATGGCCGAGCAGCTGCATCCAAGCCTTACATCACCAAGTGCAATGCAAAGTGTCGGATGCAGTGGTGTAAAGCACGCCACCACTGGACTCTAGGAGAAGTGGAGACGTGTTCTCTGGAATGATGAATCACGATTCTCTGTCTGGCAATCCGATGGATGTGTCTGGGTTTGGCAGTTGCCAGGAGAACGGTACTTGCCTTACTGCATTGTGCCAAGTGTAAAGTTTGGTGGAGGGGAGATTATGGTGTGGGGTTGTTTTTCAGGGGTTGGGCTTGGCCCCTTAGTTTCAGTGAAGGGAACTCTTAAGGCATCAGCTTACAAAGACATTTTGGACAATTTAATGCTCCCAACATTGTGGGAATAGTTTGGGGATGGCCCGTTCCTGTTCCAACATGACTGTGTACCAGTGCACAAAGCAAGGTCCATAAAGGCATGGATGAGCGAGTTTGGGGTGGAGGAACTTGACTGGCCTGCACAGAGTCCTGATCTCAACCCGATACAATACTTTTGGGATGAACTAGAGCGGAGACTGCGAGCCAGGCCTTCTCGTCCAACATCAGTATCTGACCTCACTAATGCGCTTCTGGAAGAATGGTCAAACATTCCCATAGACACACTCCTAAACCTTGTGGACAGCCTTCCCAGAAGAGTTGGAGCTGTTATAGCTGCAAAGGGCGGGCCAACTCAATATGGAACCCTACGGACTAAGACTGGGATGCCATTAAAGTTCATGTGCGTGTAAAGGCAGGTGTCCCAATACTTTTGGCAATATCGTGTATGTTGATGTCTTGCTGGCACACTTTTGTGATGCTCATGCACATTTTCAGACACAGTCACATTGGTAGGGCAACCTCCAGACTGATCCTGACTTGTGACTCGTAGCTGCCTACCATATTTTCAGCTATAGTGTATTCAAACCTGGTATCTGTCAATTTTCTACTCTGGTATCCTGACTCAGGCCTGTATCTTAGTCTAGCTTGGACTCAATCTCAAAACTCTGACACTCAAAGTTGTTTTCCTGCAATGATTTTGAGAAACCAGCTCCTGTTATGTGTACATTGGACTCCCAGCCATTAAAAACACTTACAAATTGCTGCCCAGTCAGACTCTGAAAAGCCCTCCCCTTGCACCCAACCTAATTATGACACCTCAGTCTACTGCCTAGTCCAGCTTAAGACATATGTTAACCTGTACCAACTGACTTGTTCCAGACCTGCACTCACCTGTGCCAGCAAAGCTGTCTCCAGACCTTCTATACAGTTAATCAAGTTATAGACCTGCATACTCCTGGGCCTACTTGCTTCCACCAACAGATCCATCTCCACACCTACTGTCTGTGGCAGATGATCAATCTTTCGGTAAACTTATGTGTGTACCACCTAAATTAAGATCCATTTTATCATTTATTCATTTTTGGATTGTAAAAGTGTAACATCAAAAATTAAAGCATCTATAAGCTGTTTGAAAAAGAAGGATGTATTATCATAGCCCCACATGTATTTGACTCTAGGGTTCTGTAAAGTGCTCAATTTTTGTGAAGACCCACATGATCCACATGACAAGCAGGCACTTCTAGCAGTATATTATTTGAACCAGCACCCGTTCTGTCTTAACTGAACTCCTAGGCTTTTTATCATTCTCATATTTTAGGAAGTTGTCAGGGTATTTTCTTCCTGACTTCTTATTACCTATGTTCTTAAGTTTTTGCTGTGCTGAAACTGACTTCAGCTGTTTGAATATGGTTCAAATTTGCTACTGTATATTATCGACCTCTGCTTGTTCTTGGCTCTGGACGTCTTTTTTGATTCTGCACCTCGCTTGGCAGTTTATTTTGGAATGAAGCAGAGAACATTTTTTTTTTTTTAAATATTTAATTTTTATTATTTTACTTTAATACACAATACAATTTATTTGCGTATTGTCTCTGGCTTCCCTACCCGGTATGAACCCCGACTGATCTGCTGAAATAAGATGCGATAGTAAAGAGGCCAAGCGTTTGGCTAAGATTTTTGCATATAATTTAATATCTGTGTTTAATAATGAGATTGGCCTGTAGCTACTACATACGGTTGGGTCCTTACCGGGTTTAGGGAAGACAGAGATATGGGCGTGTAGTGTAGCGGGGTCAGGAGATCTACCCATGAAAAACGTGTTTAAGTATGTGCATAAATGTGGTAAGAGTGTCGATTGAAAAATTTTATAATATTTTAACCTAAACCCGTCTGGTCCGGGGCTCTTCCCCATTGGTGAAGTGTTTATAGCCTCACTCAGTTCTTGTTCTGATATTGGGGCTTCTAGGGATTTCATTGTGGTTTGATCAATTTGAGGAAGGGGGAGATTTGCCAAATACGAGCGTATTGTATCTTCATGTCGTTTTTTTCGTTAGTTTAGAAGGGTTCGGTCTAACATTATATACTTTAGAATAAAATTCCCTAAAAGTGTTGGCTCTTTCGTGGAGTACGTGACGACATTGGTCCCTGTCTTGATTTTGAAGCGCGGAGGAGATCTAGCAGTGGTCGTAAGGCCCTGCGTCTGATGATGGTCTCTCTAGCCAGGTCGGGAAAAATTTGCAGGTGTACGCCGTTAGCTTCTATCTGCGGCATTTCCCGTAGCTTCATCAGCATAGTTTCTTTATCCACATGATAGTGTAGTCTGCATATCACATCCCTGGGGTTTTCGGTCTGCATGCCCCGCGGGCGGGGTATTCTGTGCACCCTATCTAGCAGGAGAGGAGTAGTAAGGCTCCTGCCCATTATAGGGTTAAAAATATCTCGCAGGGTAGCTGCCAGGTCTGCATCCAGTATCGCATCGGGGAGGCCTCTGACCCGTAGATTATTGCGTCGTCCCCGATTATCTTGCTCTTCCAGGCGGTATGCTAGGTCCCTCTGCGTCCTGGCTGCTGATTGGAACTGATTCTGCAGGGTTGCTATTGCCACAGCGTGGCTGTCCAGTCTGCTCTCTGTGTCTTCTACTCTATGGAAGCACAGAACATTTTAAAGGGGAGATTTTATGTTGCCTTTGGACTGTCTGTTCTTGTCTTTACATGAGTTTGAACTGTTGCACTAAGATCCATTTGACGTGTTATTTTTTTTTCTTATTTATGGCAATATATAATCAATTACACATTACCAATAAATAAGCATTACTGAGATTATCGTCAAGCCACAGGGATTTTAGTGAAACAGCCCAAGCAAGATAGGAACAAACAACCAACATGTAATGTCAGTTCAGGGTTTCTTTACCCAGTTTTTCTTCCAAATAGTAGCAGACAATCTTCCCTCAAAATATTTTCTTGTGTATATCAAAAGGCAAATATAGGATCCAGCATGGACTTGCTGCAACATCCTATCACCAATCAAGCTGTTGTGGCCACACAGTAAAGTGGTAAAACTTTTAGGTTGAGCCCCTCAATTCTGGAAGTACCAAAACATGGGTGCAAATCTCATGCACATAAATACACACACACACG